CTGTTTTTGTTGTTACTTTAAGAAGGAGAACTACAAACAAAAGAGAAATATAAAAGCAGGAAGTCTTGTTAGAAAAGAGTTATGTTACCATACTTGGACAGCTTTTTTCTAGCAAAGAGGTTACTATTGAATATCTAGTGTTATTTTTCCTAAATGCTTTGGAGCATTTTATGTCTTCTTATTTTTTGTTTTCTCCTATTAAAGTGCTAATATATTATGTGCACCTGTCCTTAAATCATCCTGGCAACCACACGAAAGCATACCAGCTCCTGACAACTATCTGCATTTTTAATAATAGCTGCATTTTTAATAATATCTGCATTTTCTACAAATAGGATTTCAGTGTTTAGGCCATTTGATTTGGAAAATGAATCAGCTTTTGTCAATTGTAATAGAAAAAGGCAGCCCAATTTCCAAGGCTCGGTTTTAATTTGGATTTTGCCATCCACTGAATTTATTGAAAGTGAAATCCATATTCCTGTTTAGCTTTAGCATCTCAGCTCTAAAATAGAAAAATTGCAGCTTCAGTAACAGAACTGAGAATGAGGTCCTGGCATCTTTTAAAGAACAAATTTGGCTACATTTACTTCTTAGTAAATGATCACAAGTTAGCCACATTTTATGTCTCAACATACACAAACAGGTTTAGAAAACCTGGTTGAATTCAGTGAAATGAGTAAGTGTGCAGAAAATACCTGGGGCCTCCTTATGGGATTCTTATTAACATGGGCCATGTTTCCTCCAAGCTAGTAAAGAAAGAAGGGGCTCAAGGCCATGGCCAAGAAGGACTGAGCTCCTTATATATACACGAAGAAGTTGTGCAACTGCAGACTCAAGTGCATCTATGAGAAGCATTTCCATTAGACCATGGGAGGAAGATAAAAAGGAGGTATTTGTGTTCTGGGGGTCTCAGACCCAGCTTACTTAGAAGCAGAGTAAACATTGGCAGTCTGTCAGGTCTGCAGGTGAGGTGAACCTGGAAACATCCCCAGGAGCATGTTTAATTTATCTGCTGAATTATAAAACCCCATGAAGTATGTCTCTGTGGACTTCTGCCCAAAGAAAAGAAAGGTTTATAAGACCAGAGGTAACATTGACTCATATTTCACCTGAAATAACTATCCTCACCTTGACAGAAGAGAACATCTTTCACATGAGAACACTCTGTAGGAGAATTTTATGTGCTCTTGTCCTCAAGGACCTGCCCATATTAATAATCTGCAGGACCCACACCGATCTATCCATAGCTGGAGCCAGCAATTGAACCTCAGCCTACAGGATAATGATCCAAAGTTCACACTGACCATCGTAGAAGGGAGCCACTGTTAATGTTTTGTGTTAAAAAGCTGAACTAGAGGATTCACCTTGATTACATCAATCTGCCACTAATCTCAACAATTGCTCAAACCAAAACTCCCAAGCTGGATCACGAGGCAGTGTCTTCATCACTGCTTATGTTGTTATGTCTATGCAACATCCTCATGCATAGCGCCATGCCTCTAGACTCTTGCCCAATCTGGGCCACTCTAGAGGCTGACTACATGGCAGAGAGGTGGCCTGAAGATCAATAGCCAACCTATGCAAGGAGCAAACAAGGTAAGTTACTGACAGCAATGACTTCTGGCACACAGCAAAGCAAGGTCTTGAGAGAGATACAAAATCTAGATGCATAAACCATTTCCTAGTTGATAGCATCATCTTTAAAACAATGTCACAATGATAATAAAAACTAAAACTTAAGTGATCTTCTAAAAGCATTCATTCAGTCTCTATAGCAACCTCGTCCTGTTATTATTCCCATGTTAAGGAACTGAAGCTAAGCGTGGTGACTCACATTTGTAATCTCAGCATTTTCAGATGCTGAGACAAGAGGATCACAAGTTCAAGGCCAGCCTAAACAACTTAGGGACTTAGCAAAGCTGGGTCTCAAAATAAAAATGGACTAAGGATGCACTCAGTGTGAAGGCCTTGGGTTCAACCCCACTACAGGAAAAACAAATGACATCAAGAGTCCAGAAACCTGTGCAAAGTTGTATAACTAGAGTGTGGCAGAGGTGTCCTGTTGACAAGGGTGCCTATGGTAGCAGATACCTGTCATAAACAAGTTAATGGCCCTCAAGGATATATATCCTGCAGCAATGGATGCTTTTTGATACATAACAAAGGAGAGATGAGATTGCAGGTAGAATTAAGGTTGCTAATCAATTGATGTTAAAATTCGATAGCCCTGTGTGGGACTAAAGTAATCACAGAGCTCCTGTAGACATCAGAAGAAGGAAGCAGAAGAGTGGTCCCAGACTGGCATGACATGAGAGATTTGACCACCCACTGCTGGCTTCAAAGATAGAAGGGGGTTGGGAGCCAAGTAAGGTAAGATACTACAAAAGCCAAGAAAATCATTTTGTTTCTTTTCTAGAGCCTCCAGAAAGAGTCCTGTTGACACTTTGATTTTAGCCCAGTGGGACACATTTGGAACTTCTGATCACCAGAACTATCAGATCATAAATTTGTGTTGTATCAAGCCACTAAGTTTGAATTAATTTTTACATCAGCAGTAAAAGCTGGTACTAACCTTATTCATAAGTTGCCTTGGATAATGCATCTAGCATTTTTCAAATGAGAGCTGGAAGACACCTTTCAAGTGGTAATGAATTGTGACTGGAAATTATCTTTCTCAAAGTTCCCACCTTTAGATGCTGAAAATTACAGGGTTCAAAACAAAGGCCTCCAGGAATATTTCACTTGAACAGAGATGGGAATGATTTAGAAGAAATACTAGTCTCTTGCTGAGACTCCCATGTAGTAATGAGTCAACTACTTGAATCAACCTAGGGTTCAGCCCAGGCCTTTGGAATATCACCTTGCTGGAGTTTTCCTAAGAAGGAGATAGAGGAAGAAGGTAAAAGTAAAGGTCATGAAACGAAATAGATGTGGACTAAAAAACCACCAAACTGACCAGTCTTTGAAAATTCACTTAACCTCCCCATTCCATATTCTTTTAAATTGTATAATGGAGGTAATAATACTTCACTAAGCTAATGGATTCAATAAAATGAAAATGATCTTCAGTATGCCTTAGTTCAACTGTGTGTGCAGTGCACGCTGGTGATCCCAGCACTCTGGAAAGCTGAGGCAGGAGGATTACAAATTCAAACCCAGCCTAGGCAACTTGGTGACTTCAGGAGACCTTGTATCGGAAAAAAAAAAAAAAAAACAAAACTAAAAATGGGCTGAGGATATTGATCAGTGTGAGGGCTTTGGGTTCAATCTCCGGTATCTATATCTATATCTATATCTATATCTATATCTATATCTATATCTATGTGTTCTCTTTTTACTCTGTTCCCTTTCCTTTCCTTCTTGAATTCCAACCAGGAATTGCCATACCTTCTCCTGGTCAATGAGAATTATGCTTGTTTTGTGCAAACTCAAGGCAGAAAGTGTCTTCATTTCATCGATGCCTAGAAATTCACAGTAATTGGAAAGTTAATTCATAGACATTTCATTTGTTCCCTTTGTTTTACTTGCTCGTCCCCTGCCCACCCCCAGCTTTCCAACACAGGCATTGTTCCCTTGGGATTTGCAAGATTTAGGTGGATTCAGGAAGAGGAATACTTATACAGAAGAGATATTTTTTATCTTCCACTGCAGAATTCATTTCAGAATGGAAAGTGTTTTTTACTTTGGCTAACATTTGAATGCCTACACAGCACCAAACACTAGTCTCCATATCCCACGCGTGTTTATCCATTTAATCCTCACAGCGGAGCTATGTTAGTCACTTGCATTTGGGACAAGAAAACTGAGCACATAAAAAAGACGGGGCGGGGATTTAGCTCAGTTGCCTGCCTTGCAAGTGCAAGTACCCGAGTTCAATCCCCGGTACCAAAAAAAAAGAAAGAAAAGAAAAGAAAACTGAGCACAGATTAGTTAAGTAAGCTGTCCAGGGTCACACATCTAATAAGTGCCAATACTGGGATTTGAACCCGGCCAACCTGGTTTTGGAATACATACTATCGTTTCAACAGCTCATTCACCATCTTCTCCCAGGACCCTGGCCTGAAGAAAAATCCAGGGAAGATGGGAAATCACAGGTTAAAAGAAAATAAATCATGAAGAACGCTTGAACTAGGTATTGAGTTTGTCATTGAAATCTGATACTGTTTTCAAATATTCATAATAGAAGCACTAATGTTTTATATATGGGCAGGTAACAGCCTCGTCAACATTGTTTTTCTAAGTAATGGTGAAATTGTTTTTCTACGTAACTCCTGAAAAAAGGAGTTTGGGTTTGCTCTTATTTCCCAGCACTGACGTTCCTTGAATGAAAACAATTTCAAGGTGTCCGAGAGTAGCCAGACTATCAAGCCTGCTTTCTTGGAAGGCAGAAATATTTCCATTTCAAGGAGGTGAAGTGGACATTTTCTTGGCTGAGGGTTTGATAATATTTCTTTACTGGACATACCTACATTTCTTCCTGAAGCAGACTTCTAGAATTTTTTTTTTTCAAAAGAAAAGGACCACTGATGCCATTTACTTCCTTTGCTTTGAGTAGTAATGAACAAGGGGTGACCAAGTCCTTTCCATTGGTTTTCTGACTTATCTAGAAGCCGCTGGATGATTCCACATCCAGTTCCCCACCTCTGCTGTTGGCTCCCCTGCCACTCAACCACATGTGTTTCCTTCTCTTACACACAGCCTCCTTTTGGCCACCAGTAAACACACTGACCTTTGAAATATGGAAAGAAAAGCGCTTTGAAATAAAACTGGCACAAACAGCGGTCAGACAGCCGTCATCTGGAGGTCGAAACAAAGAGGAGCATAGTTTTCAAGCTGTCTTCGTAATTACACTGAGCAGTTATCACTCAGGGCCCAGTCTGCGCGTTACCCCTCCAACAAACAGCAGAGGTCTGAGAAAGTACATAGGCCACTTTGTTGTTGCAGCATACGGAGGTGGTGCAAGGCCCCCCAGTTCAAAATCACATGTGGCTGGGAGAGTTTTCCAGAGCTGCAGGCTCTTTCCTTTCTTTTTCCCCCATTAAACCCCTCTGCTCTTCTTGCAAAGGCCTTCAGGTGAGGTAAGTGGCAATTAACAACAGAGTTTGGTGTATTTCTAGTTTATGGCTTGGAGCTGGGTGCTCACGAAGTACATTCTTCTCCTAGTCCCTCCTGGAACCTACGTAGGCAGACAGCAAAGATTCTAAGTATAATTGAGGTCTGGTTCATTTTTGCTGCTGCCCTACAAATGATTTCCCATTTTACCTTTTTTTTTTTTTCAAATCAAAAGGAATGTAAGCAAACTCAAAAAAAGGACAAAAGTGATCTGGAAAATTTCAGCTGCAAAGATAACTGGAGCAGAAGTCTTGGTAAATTGGGCTTTTGAAAGAAGATAAAATGGTCTTGTGCTTCTTATGGGTTCTTTGGAAATACATACAGCCAAATTTCAGAATGAATAGGTGAGATGAAATTACCTATCCAAAGAATCTCTGAAGTCTTTTTCAGCTTTCAAATTTGGATTGGATTTTTCAGTCCAAAAATGGTGTTAGTCATGTAAAATCGTTTGCCTGTTATCATATCAGTTTATGAAAAATAGCTTTGTGAATTGTTCTTAAAACCATGGTGATTTGAGATTGACCAATAAAATGATCTGTCATGGCATTGCCAAGCCCTTAAAGACCAAGAGATTTAGCAATAGGAGTATAGATAAGCAAACATATATTCTCAAACAATTCCACTAATCATTAATCGTACTCCATTGTTTAATATTTTCAGAGCCTACTGAATTTTTGCAAAGGAAATGACAGATGCATATTAAAATGCATGCAAATACTACACACAAGACACATTTTAATATATTGTTTTGCATTCATAATTTCAGTCTTGTGATTTGTATTTTCATTTGCTTGGGAACAAAGACTTTCTTCTTTCCCCACTTGGAAAACAAGGCAAGACTTGTTTCTGTCCTCATCCTAATAATATTTCTGAAAAAGCAGCAAATTTAATAGGTCAAGAATCATTCTCCACCACCTGCTTACTGGCCCCTAACAGGGGCTGCATTTACAATGCACTGAAAAGGTGAAAATATGCAATCCATCAGTTGCTTTGTCTCAAAATGGAAAGCAATCATATTTTTTGTTGTATTAAAACCGAAAAGACCTCTTTAAAAAAAAATTAAGCCATTTGAATTTATAGTCTTTTCAAATACAGGGTGTGGCAGAGTGCCTGCTATGCATTGGTCATCCCATTTCCTTTAATCCAGGGCTACAGACAGTCTACATTTCTAAGCCTCCCCTGCAATTTGGTGATTTCTGGTCAGTGGAATGCAAGCCAAAGCAATACATACAATTTTTATGTCTGGTTTCTCCAAAATCAAAAATCCCTCATATTTGTGCCCTTTCTTGCTCCTGACCTTTTGGTAAGATGCAGATGACTAGGTGGAAAAAGCCCAAGGGTCTAGAAAAGCCTGCAGATGGAATAAACTTGGGTCCTGGCATAAAATAGCAGAGAACAAAGTTCTTCCCTATTCATCTTTGCTGACTCACCATAAATGCTGACACATATGGTGGTTTCAGCCCCCAGAGGTTCCTCTCTTCTAACATTCAGATCCTTGTGCATCTACCTCTTCCATGCTACCGGGATCTATCTGTGTGACCGATGGTATATGGCAGAAATGACAGTATGTCCCTTCTGAGATTAGGCTACGAAAGATGGCAGCTTAGGTCTGGGATGGTCTCTCATCCTTCTCTCGGATTACTCTTTCTAAGGAAAACCAGCTGTCCTCTTTGGAGGATCTATGGAGATGTCCATTTGAGGAATGGAGGCCTCCCTCCAACAGCCATTCAAGAACTGGAGGCCTGCCAATGATCAGCCAATGAACCTGGAAAAGAATTCTCCAGCCTCATTTGATCCCGCAGCTCTAGCTAATACAATTAATACAATATTAATAAGAAATAAAGCTTTATTGTTTTGTCCCTGAGACACTGGGACCATTTGTTGTAGCATCTAGTAAATGCTAATGAATACACTATGACAATGATTATAGGAGCTATGTACATAATATGAACAGGACTGTAAGGTTCCAACAGTAAAGACTTTAGTTTGTTCTTGAGATCTCAGTGCCTAGCACACTTCCTGAATGACTAACCATTGAATGAAAGATAATAAGTAATGAATCTGACTTTCAGTAAGAGCCCCAGTGTGGTCTTTTATGTGGTATGTGTAAAGTCAAATTTGTTAGGTCAGCTATTACTTCAAGGCATGACTGTCATGTTACTGTATATTTAGCCCTGGAAGACAGGAACAATTCCACCTTAGAAAAAATTCTAGAATTATATTCCTATGAAATTACATTAATTATAATTTTCCCAACATTTATGTAAAGAAGACAAATACTCATGTAGGGTATGTTTGTTTCCTGATTACCATACTTAATGTTTGTACGAAACAAGTTCTGTTCAAATAGCTACACATGTTAACTTACTGAATTCTTCTGTAACGACCCAATAAAAACTGTACTGTTATTCTTCTGATTTTACTGAAGAGAAAATGGACCGTGTCACAGAGCGATGCAGGGGCAGAACCTATGCCAATTCCTGGAATCTTGAGGTTGCTCGTGATACCAGCTTGCCATCTTACTTTAATTCTCCAAAGAGACAGAACACAGCAGAAAAGGCCAAGAAAGGGCTACTGAATTGATGGAGAGATTAAAAAGAGGTCCCTGTAAGGACAGAAAAGAATAATTAAGACTCAGTCTTGGGAGATTCAAGTCCAGAGACACTCTGATGGAAGGGCATGTGTTTATTCATCCAGACCGATAACACACCTTACGGTTCGATGATCCTTGAAGCTTGTCAGAGATGGTGTAGGAGAAACATGCCTGCTGTTTCCACGTGATCAGATACAGCACCCAGTGCTCCATTGGAGGGAGGCCTCCATTCCTCAATGGAGAGACAGGGCCCACCATCCCAGAGGAAAAGAATATTCTAAACCACAGGCAACTGGCTTTCTGAGAAGCTGCCAACAGGGGCATGATTGGTCTCCTGGCTAATTGGCAAAAACCTTTATGGCTAATTCCTTCCAATAGTTGTAAATCAGCCCTAGCCTCAGAGAAATCAGAAAGGAGCCAAAGAATCCCTGGGAGCTGGTAGACATCTCTGTCTGCCACCCCTGCCAGCCCTACTTTTGCTTGTTTTCCTGGGAACATGTATAAGGGCTGAAGCTCTGAGTGTGTATCTGCTGCAGATGTCTCCTTGCATTCTGTCAGCCCAGGGTTGTGGCAAAGAGGGGAAGTTAACTGTTTACAAGGAACATTGCCAGAGGGCTAGTGGGAATTTTTCATGACTTGAAGTTCACAGAACTGAAGCCTTTTCAACTTGATTTCAAGACGGACCTAGAGTCTCAGTGACATGGATAATTACCTGTGGAAAGAAGTTGTGGCTAACACAAAAAGTCCTCACTTATTCTGACCACTGTGAACTTTTATTACCAAAATATACTAAATTCTAGAGAGTAAGACAGATTTAAAGTCTCGAATACTTGGTGTTAGGAAAAGTATAAAAAATATCTTCCATTTTGTAGGGCAATGGATTTGGAGAAAAAAAGATGCACTAAATTTTTTTTTGAGGAGAAGGGTACCATCGGGTAGAATAATATACCAAATAATTTGGAAGGACTGACTAAATAAAAAGAAATTGATAATGTCAATTATATCCCTCTCTAAATAACTTATTTAAGCAGGATCCTCAAGGATCTAATTCTAACAGTGACTGAGTTTGAATATTTGCCCTTGAAAATAAGAATAAATGTTTTGTTTCATAATTCAGAGCATTCACTTCTTTATGCTTATAGTTGATTTCTCCCCAAGTGATTGGAATTGATAAAGTCTTTCTAAAGAAATAAGGTTTATATTCATTCACTTTTATAGTTCTTTCCATCTGTGATTCACAAAATCAATTACTTGGCATTCATCCATCATGTTTAGGCTTTTCCTTTTTTTTAAAAAAATTTCCCATCAGTTGGAGACTGGATAAAGAAGATGTGGTTTTTTTCTATAAAATGGAATACTATTCAGTCATAAAGACTGAGAAATTAGAGTCATTCATAAGAAAATGGATGCATATTGAGGATATACTCTTAAGTGAGATAAATTAGTCGCATATGCATAAATACCGAATAGTTTCTCTGGTGTGAAAAACTATAATTGTACATAAGATCCTAATCAGATAATTGACAATGTGAAATACGAAGAAAGGGGCTAAAGGTGTAGGGAAAGTGGGAAGGGTAGGGGAAAGGTAATAAGGGAAAAGAAAAAATATGAGAAAATGAAAAAAATGGAAATAAAGTATTTGTAAATAGGGAAGGGAGGAGAGGGTGAAGGGAGGGCAGGGGTAAGGGGAAAAAAAGAGAACCAAGACCTGTCATGTAAAGGTACAGGATTCCAATGATGAATTTAACTATACTGTATACCTAATATGTACCAATAAACTCAATGAGAAAAAAAAATATATATATATATATATATGTTTCATGACATATAGATCACTATTGTCCAGTTGCCTTTATCAAGGCTGTCCCTGTTCACAGGGGAAGACTTAAGATCTCAAAACCCTTCTGTATTTGTCCCAATATGTTGCATATGTTCAGTCTGCACCCTTTCCTTTATTCCTCTCATGCCCACACTGGGAGTGATACAGCTGAATGGAAAAACTGCCATAGACTTCAATTTGAAAAGTACTGCGAATTTTGTGTTTCTGTTGTCTCTTTGAAAACATCACTCTTTTGCAATCCCAAGTTAGTCCTCATTTTCTTTGGCTTTTATCTCAGTTTTTCTCTCTTTGTTTAGCCTCAGCTGGTAGCTGTGCATCTCAGTCATGACTCATTGCCCCAATTTGCTGATTTTTAGGTTTTTATTTTTATTAGTACACAGTGGTTAACTTCACTGTGGGGAGTTGGTGCATGGACATAGCACATCTTCACTCTTTTTTCATCTTTATCTTTTTCCCTTTCTCTCCCCCTTCTTCCATCTCATGGTCCCTTCCAATTTTTTACCTATTTTAAAAAATGCTTGAAAGCTTTATAATTGGTACATGTTTGCAGTACATGTGATCATATTAGTTGTGGGGAGTTGGAACATGTACATAGAACATCTTAATTGTTTTTACTTCCAAGCTGACTTTTGATTCATGCTTCCCTAGACTCACTCCACTTGTCAGTGTAAGAAGACAATCAATAGTTACTAGAGGACCGTGTCCCCACCAAAAACTGGAAAATATTTCTTGTTTCAAGGAGCTAAGATGGAAGTTCCAGGATGGTCACCAATTCCTCTCCATCAAAAGTGATGATTTTCCCCCAAACCAATATCTTTGTTAGAGTATCTCCTGGAGTATCTACCCATCTATGCTATTGATTTTATAAAATATTGAGTTTAATATGGTATTTCGCACATGCAGTGGTCTCCTTTCTATTTTCATGTCACCTTTCTTGGATTTTGGTTTGAATTCTTTATGTATGTTAGATATTAATCCTATGCTGAAAGAGTAGCTGGCAAAGATTTTTCTCATTCTGTAGGCTGTCTCTTCAGTCTGTTGATTGTTTCCTTGCTATGCAGAAATGCTTAAATTTGATGCACCTCTATTTGTTGACTCTTGCTATTATTTCTTATGCTATTGGAGCCCCATTCAGGAAGTCTTTCCTGTGCCTATAGGCCTTCAAGTGCTTTGCCTATGATTTCTTGTAAATAGTTTCAAAGTTTCAAATTTTGTACCTACATCTTTGACCCATTTTGAATAGGTTCTGTAGAAGGGTGACAGCTTCAATCCTCTGCAAGTCAATATTTAGCACTATTTGTTAGAGACTTTTTCCATGACATATGCTCTTGGCTCCTTTGCCTAGAATCAAATGGTTGTAGTTGCATGGAATTGTTTCTGTGTCCTCTATTCTGTTCCATTGGTCCATATCTATTTCTTTCTCAGTACCATTCTGTTTTTGTCACCATGGCTTTGTAGTGTAATTTGAATTCAGGTGTTTTGATGCCTCCAGCCTTGCTCTTTTTGCTTAGGGTTGCTTTGGCTATTCTGGGTTTCTTGTTTTCCTGCATGAATTTTAGGATATTTTTCTAGTTTCATGAAGAATACCATTGAAAAATTGATGGGCATTGTACTGAATCAGTAAATTACCTTTGGTAATCTTGTCTTTTTTTTTTTTTTTTTTTTTTTTTTTTTTTGGTGCTGAGAATGAAACTCAGACCCTTGTGCTTGTGAGGCAGGTGGTGGAACCACTGAGCCAAATCCCCAGCCCATCTTGTCTTTTTTTGTAATATCAATTCTAACAATCCATAATCCTGGGTGAATTTTCTATCTACCAGAGTCTTCATCAAGTTCTTTTTTCAGTATTCTGTAATTTTAATTTCAGAGATCTTTCTCCTCCTTGGTTAGGCTGATTCCTAGTTTGTTTGGTTTTTTTTTCAAGTTATTTTGAATAGAATTTTTTTTTCATGATTTCTTTCTTGACGTCCTTATTATTGTCATAAAGAAAAGCTATTGATTTGTTAATGTTGGCTTTGAATCCTACTATTTTGCTGAATTTATTAGATCTAAAAACTTCTGGTCTTCTAAGTATAGGATCTTATTTTGCAAAGAAGGGTAAGTTGATTTCTCCTTCTCCTACTTATTCCCCTTTTATTCCTTTTTGTTTTGACCTAATTATCCTAGCTAAAATTTCAAGTGTTACATTGAATAGGAATGGTGAGACTGAGTGTCCTTGCTTCATTCCTGATTCAGAGGAAATGTTTGCAGGTTACCCTTCAGAATGATACTGCTGTGGGTCTGTCTTATGTGGCTTTTACTACATAAAGGAATGACCCTTCCATCATTAGTTTCTCCAGGGTTTTTATCATGAAGGGATATTGAATTTTGTTGAAGGCTTTTTCTGCACCAATTGAGATGATCATTTGATTTCTACTCTAGTTTCTGTTTGTGTGGTATACTATTCATTGATTTGTGTATGTTGAACCTTTCTTGCATCCCTGGAATGAGATGAAATTGATTGTCATGTATAATCTTTTTGATGTTTAGTTGGATTTGATTTGCAAATATTTTATCAAGAATATTTGCACCTATGTCCATCAAAGATATTAGTCCACAGGGTTTTTTTTTTGTCATATCCTTATCCAGTTTTGATATCAGCCATACTTCTAATAAAAGGACAGAACAAATATTTCATAGATCCATTTGAGTACTTTTTTTTAAGTTGTGAGAACTAGAAGAAAAAAATGATTGGAACTGACATATAGGAGATGTGAAATATGTGTAAATTACTTGAAAAATTATGTCAAGATCTCCTTAACAAGTTGTGTTTTTAAGTTTATGCATATAAATACATATAAAATCATTTGGGAATTCAATATCCTAATTTGTCTTTTCCTACTCATATATCTTGACTGTTTATCATGTAGTTTCCTCATTTGGTGTAGAGGGATTTAGATGCCCTTATTGTTAAATTGGTTCACAATTAGTGCCAAGTGTATTGCTTTTCATTATACTTCATTTTTATTCATTCATTTAGGTTATGGGAAATGATATTGATGATTGGAAATATGCTCTTGTCCTTGCCACCTAGAAATCAGCCTTGGGACTTCTGTCAGAACCTGCACTTGATTTCCTGTGAGTCAAGCTGAAACACCTCCACCCTATCCTAGAATCACTCCACCAATGACTGATGGAGTTGGGATGTAAATATCCATTGGGTAGGCTAACACTGGCTGGTGTGTTTGTATTGGTTCTCTAATAAGACTCAGCTCCAGCTTCCCCTGCCCCATCTTGGCTGTCTTCCCTCCTCTGCTCATTTACCTATTTACTGTAGTATCATCCTTGCCTTCCAAATAAACTACTTACACTTTAATTAATGTCTTGAACCGGCTTCTAGTTACAGTCAGAATACAATTAATCAATATTTTTTGGTTTCTATTCTGTATTGATTACTTATTTGGGGAGAGCAACATATAAATGGATAGTTACTTTGCAAAGCAATTAGTACCATGATAAATCTCCACATGGTGTTTATTGGAGTATGTAGGAGGAAATTCAAGTGGTTCCATGGATATTATAAGTATAGGAGAGCTGGACATGAGTGTAAGGTCAGTTACATATACAAAACACTGTCGTCTTATATTTGGTTGCAGAGCTTAGAAATACTTTCAAGTTTCCTCTGTAGACGTTCCATGATTCAAATGAACTCACTCACAACAAACTTTTCTTCTTCTGTGTCACTCTGCATAAAGATCACCTCCATTTAGTAGTTACCCGAAGTGAAAACATTTTCATTATCTTAGAAGCCACATTATTATTTTTAAATAGTTCTTACAGAAATTAATCTCCACAGTTCCTGAATCAGTCCAAAGTCACCGGGACGATCACATTGTGCTTTTCCAGGCACGTCAAGCACATTGCCTTTTGAGGGAATATTCCAGCCCCATGGGCTCTGTAGAGTGTCCTTTGTGCACCATCAGCCTCTTCCAGTGAGAGAATGGTCTCCTTTTCTATGGAGAACCAACCCATAGGATGTCGAGTAACCTCTGACAAAATAAGGCATGAAGCAAAGGAAAAGGCTCATTAGTTCTCTTGGGAATTTAAAAAAGAAAATACCAAGAGAAGGAGGCAACGGTGTGAGAATTAAAAGAAAATTATTAGAATTGTAGCTGGGAGGAATGCAGGGACAGAGAGGTCCTAAGTGAGATGAGATTTTGAGTTGGAAGAAGGCATGAGACAGATATAACAGAGCGAGAGAAAGCCAGTACATGGATACGAAGATGAAAGCAAGGGGAGGGAAAGTGTCCAAGGACTGCTAGAGGTAGAATTTCCAAGACAAATTCCTGGAGGCCTGGCTCCTTCCTATGGATTCCTGCTCTTCACATGTCTAGTGATTCAGCTTTCTTTACATAAATGTCTTTACAATCAAGGAACACTTTGCATACACATCTTGACAACAAACCTTTCATTTTCACATGTAATAGCAGCCAAGAAACTCCTAACCCCTTCCTGCAGCCTATCTTCTTTGGCCCCTATCTACAGAATGCCACCTGAATAACCTATCTAAAATGCAAAGTTGATCACATCATTACCCTGCTATAAAATATTTTTCCCCAAACTGAATGCAGTTTCTTTTCCTGGAAGTGGAGATTAAACTTAGGGCCTTTACACTGAGACATCTCCAGCCCTTCCTTTTTAAAATTTTGAGACAGCATCTTACTTATCCACTAATTTGTACAGGTTGGGCTTAAGCTTGCAATTCTCCTGCCCCAGTCTCCAAGAGTGCTGGGATTACAGGCATGTGCCACCACACCCAGCTTGAATGCAGTCTTAACAATCCTTTGCAAAATGCTCCATGAACTGTCTCCTACCTACCTTTCCACCATCCACACTCACATGGTCCATAGACAGTCATCTTGCTAACATCTTGCTAACATCATCATGGAGAGAGTCATCTCTCTCCATCTTGCTAACATTATTGCTTTCCTCTCTGCTAGAAATTTCTCTTGCCCTCATCCTCTACACATATGGTTTTATCAGCCTAGTTAAGCCCTTTATCATTCTACACAATGTAGATTTTCATCTCAGAAGACTTCTCTGCCCTTTCAAGTGGAAATGAGTTCTTCCACCTTCGACCAGCCATTGTGACAGGTGCAGTAGAAACACTGTTTAAGCAACTATCTGTATACATCACTTCCACTTTTATCAATTTTTCTCCAAATATGGTCCAAGGAAATAATCACTTAAGAAATACCTGCCTATGAAAACTGCAAATGCTTTTTTTCCCCATTTTAAATATGCACCCCTGAAGCCTCCTTAGATCGTTGAGACAGAGAACCATATTATCTCTCTTGTATTTACTCTACCTGGCATGTAAAGAAAAACAGTCCACTGCTTTCAAACACAAGTTGTTGTGATCTTTGTGGGCTCAGAATCTGTGTGCCTAGGACCTGTGTGAATTCTGTGCATGTATGAACTTGCCATCCGGTCCTGTTCACCATCACCTCTATCCCAAATCTTCTCCCTAGGGCTCTAGTGCATGCTAAGTCCTAAATAAACAGTCCTTCGCCGATTGAAAGAAAATGATGGCCTACAGAAGCCACTGTGCAGCCAGACAGATATGCAGCCAAAGCATCAACAAGATTAGCACAAGGCCTTTTCAGTCACTCAGGAGGAGACACTAAATAAGAGGAAGAGCTGGCAAGGCTCTGCTCTTCCTTTGTAGAAATCCTTGATGTGAGCTTTGTAGAAATCCTTGAAATATCAAATCCAGATTGTATTAAGCCCCACTCCAGATCCCCAAGGCAATTATATATCCATGGTCCTAAGGCAATTATTGGGGCCACCTCTGTCTGTTGCTTTCAAAGGGGCTGAGCTAGCACCCCATCATTGATATGAACTCCTACAAAATGAAGCCTGCATTTAATTCATCATGTCCCAGGTGGATAATGCCTAAAAAGTTTGATCTGGCTCCTTCCTGAAAATTGAAGTATTAAATTAAACAACAACAACAAAAATCCCTTGGATCTGCTGAAAAGTCAGGAGAAAGAGTGGGCCCTAAAGGCTACAATAGAAATGAAAGTTCTATTTCTTTTGCTCAAGACTCAGCACTTGTCTGTTTTGGAAGTTTCCACTTCCTGCTTGAAATGATAAGTTATCAGTTTTCAGTTAACCCATATTTTGAATTTTTTAAAGACAGAAGCCAATAAACGACATGAGCTCTCACGAGGGTAATGAACTTCTAGTCGAATGATTCAGTATATACAAATGGAAACTTGGCTCGCTGTGCTTCTACACACTTTAAGGATGGCGAAAATGTCAGGCCAAAATCTAGCCTCAAACCAAAGTAGGCACATGGGGATCTATTAAATGAAACCTAAATGCCACAACTTCACTAGAGCAGACCAGATTTCACCACTGCATTCTCAGAGGGAAGGGTTGGGGGGCATCTAGTCCCAAATTCAACCACAAGCCAGAGCTCCACTTTGTTATGTGAAATTCAGAACACATTCATTCTCCGTTTTTGTTTTGTTTTGTTTTTTTCCTCCTTAAAACTTATTTCCTACCTTTATTTAGGGTCTGGCTGGAACCGACATCCTGAGAGCCAAAGACACCAGGAGAAAGGCAGCATTATTGTGAAATCTAAACTGAGTAAAACCAAGACAGATCAGCAATCTTTTGACCTTACCCAGCAGTGAAATCTAAAACTGATCCACATGGTTTAGAGAGAGAACTTGGAAAAGGTCTGAGGGGTTGTCAAACCACTCAAACATGTATAACTTTGCCTGTCATCCTGAACAGCAATGATTCAAAAATGTTTCAAATGTTAGCAGTTTCCTAAAGAAGACCAACAAGTTTGAGGAAACTAGTTTTTTTGGGTGACCCTAGAACCAAGGTCCTCTTTCTTGGAACGTTGAGATCCACCCAGACCAGACAACTGGAGGTCAAATTTTCTGTGTTGAAACACTCTGTACCAGCCTCCCCACAAAAGATGGACCATTCCCAAGCCAACGGCCAGGTGGAAGAAGCAAATGGCTCTTCACCATCTTTGATTGCCACTTAAAGTAGGTTTTAAAAACCTAATCCTGGACGTGGTAGTGACATGAAGCCCTGGCCACAGCCGTCACTGGGATGATTGGTTTAAATATCACAGCAGTCTTTTGTGCACAAATTGTATTAGACAGAGTTCCTTCCTTTCAGGGACTCCCTTGCCTAAAAAGCATCCATGGTCTTACTCTCTCTTGTCCTATTTGTCAAATTTGACCTCATATAAATCCCTTTCAGCTTGCCTTCACCTGCTTTTCCATCTTCTTGCTATCTTTGCCATGTATTTTACTCTATAGGACTTTGTAGGTTCTGTAAAGGACTTTTAAAAAAAAATGAGACTGGAAATGATTGAAAGGTAGAGAGCAAGAGGCATATGCTCTGCCTCATATTTTCATGGACTTACTCTGGTAGTCATAGGTACTACAGAGCAGAGGAAGACAAGAGCAAAAGCAGAGCGACCCAGCAAGACACTATCACATTCATCCAGGTAGCAAATGGTATCCAAGGTGATAGAGTAGAAAGGTTAACAATTGTCAGATATTAAACATATTTTAAAGACACAGCTGAAAAGTAGGGTGTAAAAGAAATAAAGAATCAAGGATAACAACAAGTTAAGAAGAATGGAGTTATCACTAAGATAAGACTCTAGGAGGAACAGATTGGGTAGAAATTACCAGGATTTGCTTTTTATATCATGTTATGTTTGAAATGCCTATCGGACCTCTCTCAGTGAAAATGTTAAGTAGACAGTTGGATAAATGCTTTACAGTTCAGTGGCAACGTCATAGACAGAGGTAGACATCTGGGAATTATTTACAATTGATGATTTCTAAAGGTATGAGATGAAGTAGGATCATTTAGGAAGAAGAAAGAAGAGGAGAGATCAGGGACTGAGCTGATATTTTGAGGTTGGGTAGATAAAGAAAAGTAAAAAAAAAAAAAATCTTAAAAAGAAACACCAGGAAGTGAAGTAAGGGGGATCTCCTGGAAGTTAAGTGAGGAAAGTCTCTCTAGAAGGACGAAATGAACAACCACGTGAAATGTTATAAACCTACTGAGAAAATAGAGAAGTGAGCCATGACCCAGCATGGGAGCCATTGTGCACTTTGCCAAGAACAATCTAAAGAGTGGAAAAGATGAAAGCCTGTATGGAGAATATATAACAGAATGAATAGGAAGGGCTCAAAATTACCTCCCTTTTCCTGAGATCCAGAAACACTTCACACAATAGAACATCTCCACCATTATGATATTGGTTTATATTTTTGTATCCTCAACTAATGTATAAGCAATTTGAATACTGAGCCATGTTCCAATGACCATTTATACAACACTAGGCACATAGTAAGTTGCATTAAATGCTTGTAAAATGAATATGAAGTTGTAATGGAAGAAAACAGAAATGAGTAGATGCATTGTAATGACTAGAAACAATAATACTAATGAGCAGAATTTAAAAAGGAGAAAAGGAACACATCCTATATGCTCTTGTATATCATTGTGAGACTGCAGATATTTGGGTTTATGTGCTGGATATTCCTCTGTCTTTAAGTTACACATAAATATCACTATATCACATATAATGAGATCACACAGTAGAGCCAGTCTAGTTTTGCAGAGGCTAGTGAGGTTTGGGAGCTGTTAGGACATTTTCTCTCTTTCTTTAGATTGTGTGTACGTGGTATGTGATTCCATAGAGATTGAATCTCTACTGCTTTTTGAAGTCCCAAGGTTGTCAACTGATCATCATTATAAGAAAAGCTCCCAAATTCCTATGTCCTGTCTTTTTTTTTTAAGATCAATTTTTCAAAAATGAGATTCACTACAGTGAATTACTTTGGGATCTGAATAATATTGAAACTGATAAATTCAGTCTTTGTTAAAATGATTATTTGAGCATTCAGTCCTTAGAGCTGTGAGTGCTAAGGTAGAAAAGCACAGCTTATTAGATGATGATTCTAGTGACTTTTGTTATACTGCTTTTAAAAATTAACATAGAGCTCTGAAATATCATTTCTAAAAGTTAACTGATAATTTTCCAAAGATCTATTTTTTTTTTTGAAAAGTAGCTTCATTTCAGAGGATAAAGAAATGCACTCCTCCCATCTCTGAGTCATGGTTAGTGAGTTCAGTTAGTTACTGTGATATGATTTATTTCATTTTATTTATTCAGTATGAGGGGGCATCTGTATTAAGTGTTGGATGAGTCATTTCATATGACCAAGGCTAAGCAATGTTAGACTACTGTAGTTAACAATACTTTTCTAACAATGAGAAGGTTTTTATTGTTTTTAAATATTTGACACACAAGCATGGTCAAACTTTGTCATGGAGAGAAAGAAGTCACTAATTTGAAGGCAATGACTTTTAGTGTCTCATCTATGTTATGCCATAGACATATCTAGACACATTTGCTATAAAAAACCAAAGACATTCAACAGAAGAAAGTAGATAGGAGCAGCCGAATATCTTCCCCTTTTACATTCCAGTTGTCAATGATCCCAAGAACCCAAATACCTGTTCTTTTCATACAGTGCATATTTTTCCCTATTTTGCAAAGAAATAACCTTACAGAAAACTACTCCTAAAAATCACTCTTTTGTGCCTATTGAGCTTCTTATTTTGTGGGTCATAGGTTTAATAGGCTGTAATGCTATTTAAACATGGTAGATATTTAATGCACCATGAAAAGCCCTTAAGCCATGGGAAATTACGAAAAATATCTCAATGCCGTGGACACAAAAGTGAACAGACTTCTCCACACAGACTTCAAAGGTAAGTGAAATTCCATTTCCCATAGATACCTGAGGGCCCATTGACCAGAGGCAATGGTCACCTGTGATTTGACCCATGCTTCCCTAGAAATTATGTTCAAGCCAGCCAGACAAATCTCAGCTCTAGTAGTGTTAGAAATTCAACTACTGCAACATTAGGGACTTTATCAATGATAAAGCCAAGAGGCTGTAAACACAACTGTCCTTCAGACACATAAATCATCACCTGGTTCAGGTGAGAGAACAGTTTCCTGGCATCCTTGATGTTAGGATAATAATAGACTATTTAATTAAGGCTGTTTGGTCTATACAGAATGTCTATCAACAAAGCAATCAAATAAAAAAAATATGTTATCACTGTCAATTTTGGCCAATACAAATCACTGGAGATTTTAAAACAAGTTTCTTATACTTACAAATGTATAGATATTCATTTAAAAATATGAAAAATGCACCAAAATATATAGAGGGGAATAAAATGCCATGGTCTTAGTACCCTACGGGAGGGTACAAAAGTATAAATGGAGTATACTCTGTTCTGTCTTTATGTTACTTCTCATTTTTATACTTATTAAAGGGCAAGGGAAAGTTTATTAGGTGATTAAAAATGGTTTCTGTACTGAATAGGAGAAATAATTATCTTCTTCCAACCACTAGTGACTACCATTTGATAAAAAGGGGTTGGATGACTGCTCCATGAGATTTTGGTCTTTAGATAGGCACCATTTACATCAAGTTCATCATTCTCAAACCTGGCACTGCCTGTGCCCATTTGTGGACACAGAACAATCAGACAACATGCTTTCTACATTGAATTGACTCTGTAAATGAAGTCTTTCTCTGCCCTGACCTACTTTTAGTTTAAATAATTTTGAACAGCCACCCTCTTTTCATCCCCAAATTATATGTTTACTGTGAATGAGTAGGACATGGGCCCACCCATTTTCCCTTCTGTCCATCTTTTATTTCCTCTTTCTCCTTTTTCTTTCTTCAACAAGTTGCAAACCAGTAGTGCATTTTTAAATAGAGGCCTCGAGCTAAGAGTCCTGAGTTTCGATCTTAGCTCTGATGCTAACTGTGCTCCCTTAGGCAAGTTACTATACTTAACTCCAGGCTTCAGATTTTTCATCTGTAAAATGGAGATATCAATAATGACCTCTTAGGTTACTGTGGAGACTAATTGGAATAGCATAATTAGAACACTGAACAGAGAGCAACATGAGTCACAGCTATCATTAATGGAAAAAATAGGAAACATAATTCTTTCATAGCAATAATATTTGTAAGGACTTAATGGACCCACTAACACATGGAAAAATTAGCTCAGGATGACATTAATAGGAATGAAATACAGACCTTTCATCATCCAACACTAGGCAGACTTCAGTTCATACAGATACCCAGAAAAGAGTGCAATAGGAAAAACATAGACAGCTGTTAACCTAACATGTAAGTGATGTATATCTCTGCTCATCATTTGTTCCAAGAGAGTACATCACAGAGTGTAGCAGGCCTAAAAGCTGTGAATGTGTGGTACGGGTCAATTGAGGTTATAAAGTGATACAAAGACTAGACCCTCATCAGAATTTGGTCCTTTACAATAGATGAAAAAGCAAAGCGAGATTTAATCAGCTTATTTAGGCCTGGTTTCTCTTCCTTATTCTGAGAAGAAATCTTGCTTTATTCTAGCTATTTCCTGAGAAGAGCTCTTCTCCTCCCTGAAGGATTCAGGCTAATTATACATGGTGAGGTCCATTCCAGGCTGCATAAAAAAATCAAAAAGAAAAGGGTGGTAAATGGTGTAGATTTCAAAGGGGGGAAAAAGAATTTAAGAAAGAAGTATGTTCTCAGAGGGGGGGAAATTAGAGAATTAGGTCACTGAGCTGAAGCCAGGAAAAATCCACATGAGTGGAAATTGGAGCATTGAAAGTATTTCATATTAACACATCCAAAGACTGAATGTGCCTGGTTCAGCGGATGTTCCTGCACTCC